TATAGTCTCAAAAAAAATTATGTGCTAATAATGCTTCCTTCTCATGTAGATGTTTTCTATGATATTGAAATAGAACTGTACAAATGTATTTTAGGTAGTATATACTTATTAAGGATGTGCTCTTTGTAGACACTTTCCTTTTAAAGGGAAAACACTTTGTGGTAAAATATGAACTTAGTATTACAGTTTTTCCCATGAAAACCACTTTTAAAATAGGTCAAATCAATGAAAACCATCTTTCATTTTTTTATGTGGAAACCATATAATAAGTGGCAGGAGTAAAAACACCAAAAAAAAATGTTACATAACATAAACATGGGGCATAAAAACCCAGAACAGTAATCTTAACTAATAATATAATTCTCTATTTCTATATGTAAATTAAATCAAATTTTTATTACAGATGAGTATTTTGAAAGTAGAATGTCTGTGGTGAGCTTGAGCTTAGCTGAAGCTGGAGTTCGTTTAGCAGCAATGTTGAGCCGAATTTTTGGATGAAACAGAGTTTTATGCTTATGATCGAATATTGATTGCTACATAAACTTTTGTTATTAAATCAGTTGATCTTTTTGTTATGGGTACTATTTTAGTGAAAAAGGTAATAATTGAGCATTTTCATAACCTTTGTTCTCTGATGATAAGCAAAAAGTGAATCTATATTGAATTTATTTAAGACGATATTTTATTTTTGTATTTCTACTCCTTTTGAGCCCCTGTGCTATTCCACTCTGGAGTGCTTTATCTCTCTATATCGTTTAATATATTTTTAAGCCACGATTATTTGATATATACTACCTTTCTTTTCTCGCCACTGATGTATTATTTATGCTCTTGGCACATCACTAGCTCGAGAACTCATGCTCTCAAATACTGCAATGTGTGTAGGAGTTAAACCTGAAATGAACTGACAATTCCTAAGAGAGGCAACCTCACTAATCATCATTTATATCTATATCTATACTACTCATAAAAGAGGATATGAGTGTCAAAACTTTTAACTTCCTTTATTACGCTTCTAAGTATTCATATTTTCCATCCCATGTTTGATAATTTGCAATATTTATTTTATTAACAAGAATGATTCATGAAGAAATTTGTATTTAATATTTCCCATCCCAAGTTTGATAATTTACAATATTTATTTTATTAAGAAGAATGATTCATGAAGAAATATGTATTTAATTATTTAATTGTACATAGTTGAGTTGTTGGTTATAGAGTGGATTAAATTTGACGTTTTATATTCTCTTATACTAATATACCATGTTTTCCTATTAGATTGCCTGGTTGTAATTATAATTAGAGATTAATGTTAAAATAGAAGGTTGACTGTTCTTAATAGCTAGCAATCAATTATTTCACTGCACATAGCCCCCCCCCCCCTTCCCTCCCTCCCTCCCTCCCTCCCTCATTTTTTGTTGCCATTTCAAATTCCTTTCAACTTTTTGTTCATAGTAGACTAAAAGTGTGAAGGTAAGTTTTTAGTATCATCATGATGTAATAGTTAATTTGTTGTTGCTTGAATAAGTTACCTACAGCCTACAGGAGAAAAACTAATACAATTTGGCATTTTAGATAATAATTTTGTAATTTATCTCCTTTCTGCAATTTGCATCCTGGAAATAAATATCATCTATGTTTTGTTTGTGATTTCACTTCCCAATTGTGGAGGGTTATTAGGAATTTTGTCTAAGAGAAGCAAGCTCCTAGAAACTGGGTTGATACTGTAAGTTGGATGGGGAGAAAATAGTAGAGAAGTTCTTTTATTAATAACATCAAGTGATTTTCAGGTGGCTTGTGTTTACTACATTTGGTTGCTAGAAGAACAAAGAAGCAGAAATATGAAAAAAATTAGTAAAAGAAACGTTACTACCTCTATTGAGATAAGATCTAATTCACATAATGAAGTTGGGAGCCTTGACGACATCTTTTCTTACCTTTCTTAATAATGACTATATATATATATATATATATATATATATATATATATATAATCTTGACAACATTGATATATTATCTTCAGGCATTATGTCATGGATATCCTACATAATTTGCATCCAACTACCACTACTGCCGTTCACTACGTTTTGACGACAAACCTAATTTTTCATAACTTAAAAGAATATTCTGTGACCTTTTTATTCGCGAGGATAAGGTATGTTGGTAACTCATATTGTTCCTGTTGACGAGGAATTTTGTGCTGATGACAGGTTTAGATATCTGTAATTCTCAAGCAAGATGTTGAATGATATTGAAGTATCATCAATCACAAATTGCTAGCACTCCTCCACGACCTCTTGTAAGTCTTGCACATATAGGCTTAATTTCTTGTAGATAGATTTTCATTTGTTTTGATTTCTTTTTCTCAATCATAACAACACATTGCTCATTTTTTATCTTCTATATAGGGTTCTGGAGCAGGACCTAGCCCTGGGTACTCATTTTTTATCTTCTATATAGGGTTCTGGAGCAGGACCTAGCCCTGGGTAGGCACCAGCTCTTGGTAATGTCAAAAGACAATCTGGTAGTTTTCTGGAGCAGGACCTAGCCCTGGGTAGGCACCAGCTCTTGGTAATGTCAAAAGACAATCTGGTAGTTGAGTATGTCATTACTAAACTTCGTACTTGAAAACTTTAATTTAGATGGTAAAGAAGGGAGAACAAGTGGTTGCTTAGCATACCCTTCTCGTCGCCATGCATCGGGACAAGTCGAAAATGCAGGCAGCTTACTAAAAACACACGGGTAGCAAATGATTCAAAAGAAGCTTTGGTGGGTCGATAGTTTAATATGTCATTGTTTTTTACCTATGATAAGACATGTTCAGTGGATCTATGCAACATCTAAATTTTATTCTAATAAGAAACTTATTGGAGCCCAATTTGAGAGTGAACTCTACAGGAGAAATATTAATTAAAGTTGATCCATATCTGTAAAAACAAATCTGAAATTCTTTTTAGTTATAGTATCATGGTTTTTCTCCTTTGGTTTCATCTGCAATTGATTTTATCAATGATAGAAGTGTTATCTTAAGAGTATGAATCTTTGGTTCTTTGCTTTCTCAAAAATTCTTGCTTTATACTATCTTCGTAGTTTTTTAGCATCTTACAATTTACTTTGATTCGATGAATTTCATAGACATGTAATCAGAAAATCTCACGCCCCTAATAGGCATAAGTAGCTTACCGCTCAAAAAAAATTAGAACCATTAAAGCTCAAAATATCCAATGATAAAGAGAGATATTTATAGTATCTCTACTGTTTGTTGCATGACTATTATTTCTTTTGAGTAGATAGAAACAAGTAGGACTAAAGCAAAAAATTGATGCTACTATTTTAGTAACATTTATATTGGATTATTATGATTAAATAGGTCGTCTACTGTCATCTGTATATAGGTAGCATTGGTTGATTGAAACTCAATGTTGTATATCAAATAAAATTCTTTTATAAAATTATTCATTGTTTTCTATTGTTAATGATGCAAAGAATCTATTATCACCCAGTTGATACATAAATATAATTTCATTATTCAATCCTTTTGAATTTTTAAATTCTATCCATACGTTTGACACATTGTTTAAATTAAATAAATCTTAATGAAATGAATCAATAATAAAAGAATAAATTAAAAATTTACCACGTGCATTGCACGTGCAATCCAACTAGTATTCTAAAAATACGAAAAGAATAAAAAATGAAAATAATAAAATAATAATCATCTTCAATCATTTTAATATCATCAAAGTAACATCATGATAGAGAGAGAGAGAGAGATCCATAACCTTAACAATTGACCCGTAACATTAACAATTAACTCGTAACCTTAACAATTAACCCGTAACTTTAACAATCTCCCAATACAAACAACGAAAATAATAAAAAACAAAAATAATAAAATAATCATCATCAATCATTTCAACTATCATCTCAGTACATCATGATAAAGAGAGAGAGAAAATAAAAATAATAAAATAATACTCATCATATTTTAATAAAAAAAAGAGAGAGAGAGAAGGGTATTATGGTCTTCACATATTTTAATCTCTTGGGTTTTGTGTTTTGGGGCTCAGAGAACAGAATCTTTATTTTTAGGGGCAAAACACCCGTTGACAAAGTCTTGAGGGTGGGAAGCAAGTTCTCTTGGCTTTTGGGGGCTGGAAATATTTTTCCCTTATAAATTAATCCTCTGTCCACCCATGAATGTCATTGGTTGGTATATTATTATTATTATTATTATTTGGTTTTGGGTGGTTAGAATCTCTACTTCGGACATTGGCTTTGTCTTGTCAAAACCGTAGCCAATCTAGTTTAGATCATTTTGGGCACGTTAGTAAAGTACCCAATAAACTTTGTTCTACTAAGACATGTCCAATAAACATTGTTCTACTAAGAACATGTCTAGGTTGGCTTTTGTTTCTTCTTTAAATTACTATGGCTAATGGGTTACATGAACTTTCAAAATGCTATATTATTTGTTTGGACAAATAGAAGGCTAAGGTGACCAAAAAAAATCATAAGTAGTCAAGCTCTATCCAATTCCCTCCATGTTTAAGCTTCTCGCTAATTTAGGCGGTTGTAGCTATCAGTTCCAGTGGAGAGTAATCTTTCAAGCTAAGAATTTAAAAAAAAGAAAAGAAAAGAAAACATAAACAGCCCCTAAAAGATTTTGTTAAAAGATCCGAATTACAAACAAGTAAGAAACAAAATTATTACTCGCTTTTCTTTAAAATTCTTCAATAATATGTCATGTGTAAATACGTAAATGTTAAGTAATGTGATGTACTTATCTCATAAAATGCTACTTGAAACATTATAAAACTCTGTTACATTACATACACTAATTTCGTACTTGACGAACAGATTTAATAAAAAAAAAAAACTTTATAAGAACAAGACAATCCTAATTCCTAGCATAGTAAGGAAATATTAATTAATTAGTTTATTATTTTCGCTCAGATACTTGCCACACAAAAATAACCTCTCCTCGCGAACCGCAACCCTTGACATATCTGGGTAAAGATTCGGATCGGGTAAACGCAAACCTTTATCCTCTTCCTCCAACCCAACGGTGACGGCGGATCCCTTAGCGGTCGGTTCCAGCGACAACCCCTCTACCCGAATCCGATAGCCAACTTCTTCTTCCCTCCACCAAAGTAAGTCCTCAAATTCTCCCTCTCTTTCTCTCGAACTCCTCCTCTCTTCTTTCTTCTCAAAACCCTAGATTCTCAAACTTTTTAGGGTTTAAGCTATTTTTTGCCGTTCTTGATAAACTCTAGGGTTTAAAGCTGTTTGTTCAAAAACTTTTTAGGGTTTAAGCTATTTTTTGCCGTTCTTGATAAACTCTAGGGTTTAAAGCTGTTTGTTCATGAAATCAAGAATTAAAACTTGGATTCCAGCCGTTCTTGATAAACTCTAGGGTTTAAAGCTGTTTGTTCATGAAATCAAGAATTAAAACTTGGATTCCAAGCTGATTTATCATTCTTAGCAATTAAAATTTCTTTTTTGATGGAAATTGGTTGATTTTTCTGCTTGGTATTTCTTGAATTATTTAAAAAAAAACAATCTAAAACTGTCAAAATTGCTGGAAAATCCTGGGATTCAACGCTGGTTGCTCATAAAATTATAAAATTTCGTTCTTGATAATAATAATTGCTTTTGTCAAGGCAATTGGTTAGTTTTGCTAGGTTTTGCTTGAATTGTTCTACAAACAACATGACTGAAGCTGTCTGCATGGATGGAAACTGTATTTGTTTGTTTCTTTTCAAAATCATAGGGTTTACCGCTGGTGTTGCTCCTAAAATTAACAAGAACGATCGCCTTTTTCTTAGCTTAACACTTGGATTCAACACTGGTTTATCTTTCTTGACAATGATAACCTCTTTTTTATGCAAGTTGTTTGATGTCTCGCTAGGTATTGCTTGAATTATTCTGGAAATATCATGACGGAAACTGTCAATATGGATGCAAACGGCACTGACAATGCAATTGCAATCCAAATGGGCGGTAATGAGCCGGCCTCAAGAAGAAGATTGAGATCTTTAGTCTGGAATGATTTCACAAAAGAACGGAAAGCCGATGGAAATTTTGTAGCAATCTGTAACCATTGCAAGAAAGAGCTTTCAGCTAGCAGCCGAAGTGGCACTACCCACTTAAAGAACCACCTTGCGACTTGTACCAACACAAAAGTTCGAAAGAGGAAGAAATTGCTTGTTAGGAGATTAGTTGTGAGAAATGATGGGTCAAGTATGGATCTATCTCATTTTGATCAGGAATTGAGTAGACAGGATCTTGCCCGTATGGTGATCTTGCATGGGTATCCTTTTACTATAGTTCATCATGTCGGGTTCAAGGCATTTGTTAAGAATCTTCAGCCACAGTTCAAGTTGACATCTGATGATGTTGTTAGGGCTGACTGTATGAATATTTATGAGAGTGGGAAAGTTAAGTTGAAGGAATTGCTTGGGAGACTTCCTTGTAGAGTTAGCCTCAGCGTTGATATGTGGAGATCAAGTGAAGATGTTGAGTATGTGTGTTTGTCTTGCCATTATGTTGATGATGATTGGAAGCTTAAGAAGAAGATTCTGAACTTTTTGCATGTTGAAAGTCAGACTGCAGGTGAGGAGATGAGTAAGATTGTTGCTGAGAAGTTGCTTGATTGGAATTTACATGGAAAGTTGTTTAGTGTTATTTTGGATAATTGTAATGAGAATGATATTGTGGCCAAAGATCTTCGTGAATTCGTTCTGTTGAAGGGGGCTTTCCCTTTAAATGGTGAGTTTTTCCATGTGCAGACTGCTGCATCGATTTTGTATGCAACTGCACAAGATGTTACGGGGTTTTTGCATGATATAATAAGTAAAGTTCGGGATAGTGTGCAATATGTGAGGACTTCACAAGCTACACTAAACGGGTTCCAGATTGCAGCGGGTAAAGTTGGAGCCCCACAAAAAGCATTAGTTTGCGATGATCAGAATAACTGGATAACAACATACTTGATGCTTGAAGCTGCATGTGAGTTTCAAGGTGCCTTCACTTGTTTTGCTGAAAGTGATAGTGAGTACACAAATTCGTTATCTTCTGAGGAGTGGGATCTTGTTAAAGCTGTTACCGAGTGCTTATATGTGTTCTATCATGCCATAGAGAAATTTTCTGGGGCAAAAATTCCAACATCAAACCTTTATTTCAATGATATATGTGGTATCCATATGCTGCTAAAGACTTGGAAAGTCAGTGAATTTCCTGCTATTTCAGCGATGGCTACTCAAGTTCTTGAGAAATTTGAAAAGAGCTGGGAGGCAACATTACTTCTTATGTCAATTTCTTCAATTCTTGATCCTCGATATAAATTAAAGTCAATTGAGTATTTTTTCAATAAGATTTACGATGATGAGCATAAAGCTAATGAGAAGATTGAAAAGATCAGGCAATATCTAGGGAAGCTCCATGATGAATATGTGGAGCATTCAAATAACATGTCCAATACCCAAGCATTTCTTTGCTACGATGAAAATAATAATAGTGGTTGCAGTGCTGAACTGAAAGCTGGTACAGAATCTAAGCCTTCTTCCCGCACGTTATTTGATGCACGACGGGGACTTGATCAATATCTTCAAGAGACCTCATCAAGTCAACAGCATAAATCAGATCTGGAGTTGTATTTGGATGAAGCTGTTTATCCATGCAAAGGCTCTGAGGACAACTTTAACATCTTAGCTTGGTGGAAATTTCATGCAGCAAAATATCCTGTTCTTTCGATAATGGCTCGTGATATTTTGGGGATTCCTTTATCAGTTGTTGCAATAGACAGTGAAAGTAGAGTGCTCAATCAGTACTTGAGTTCCCTTGACCCAGTGACTGTCCAAGGACTGATCTGTGGACAGGATTGGCTAAGAGAAGAATTTGAAGGTAAAGCGATGTTTAGATTTGATTTTATAGCTTATTTTTATTTTATTTTTTTCTTTCATTTTTTTTTTTTGCTTACTTTACTATGGTTTTCTAGTTCAAGTAGAACCTCCAATAGCCGTAGATGATGTCGCCATTGTTCCGTTACCTGCTAAAATTGAACATGACGTTGATGAGTGCATGATACCAGCAAATGGAGATGAATTCTCCCACCACCAATAGGTAAGTCACTGTGTTGAGAACATATTTAGCTCTATTTGTGTCAATACTTCTCTTCACTGATTTCTATATTGTACGAATATTTTTTTCAGAGATTAGTTTTTAGTGACAGCCACTTGGGCATTCCTTGTTATTTAGATATGTGCAAAACACAAGTACACATGCACAGGTTACAGAGATTTTCCATCTAGTTCGTTATGCATGTGTTCCCTGCAACTTCTGGTGCTTGTTTTCTTTCCACTGTCCTTTTTACTGGTTGTATTTGTAAATGAGTACATGCAGAGCCATTCAAACATTAATTTATTATAAATGAAGTTTGAGAACAATTCTGTGTTAAGGCCTAGGGCATTGAGACCCCACTTGAATTCCATAGAACACTACCCATTTCCGGATGGTCCAAGACCCTTTTTTTGACAATGTCTGACATTATTATTGTTTTTATTCTTGTTATTTACTGTTTAGTTGTATGAAGATCTTGTATGGACAATGGACTGGTTTAGATAACCCTTTTTGGGATAATATATTCCCTCCCTTTTAATGGATGTGGATCTCGAGCTACTCTTGATGGTTTTCTTTAGCTGTCTGAGCTATGCAATTAGAAGGTGACTTTAATAACTCATTGTGCCATGTATTGATTTCTGCAACTTCTAAGCACCTGTTTCATTGTTTCTCTTCCAATAGAAGAACTACAGGATAAGCTCTTCTAATTAGTTAATTGGGAGCATGTTCAAACTTGTGGCCTTAGTTTTCTCATGCAAATGCCTTCATCAACTGTACTCAACTACCTCTTTAGCGACACATCATATTGTAGATTTTCAACTGTCATTATGACTGAAGCGCTTATAAATTCTTCGACACTTGCAGACAGTTTACTGTTAGGAAAAGCAGCATGCATGTCAGTCTCCTAACATGTGGAATGTGGCACCACTTAAACATACTATATACGAACACCACATCATATTATCATGGCTTGCATTTCTGACATAGATAACTGGTTTATGACAAGATGTAACTGCATGATCTGGACATTTTGGTCATTTTGTTGAGAACCTTGAAGGAAAAGCATGGGTTGTAGTATCCGCAGAATGTGGAAGGAAAGCATCAATTTCATGATCACGTGGATAGTATATAAAGTTTGCCTCACACTTTAAAACCATTAATTCAGTTAGTACAAATTGATTGATATTTTACACCATATGTTCATATATAGAGGATGATATATAGATGATGGTGGTCCAGGATTCGTATGACTCACATGGAAAACATGACTGGGAAGTTTAAGTAAACCAATGGTTTAACAGTTGTATGCTCATGTCACATTTTCTGGTTGACTCTTAATGCTGGCGAGATTATGTCTTTTGTGATGATTTGACTAATGGACTTTTGTTTAGGTCAGATATCAAGCATATGATCTAGGTTAAGGTTTCTCATCATAAGTCATTGTACGTTAATATGCTTGAAGCTTATAGTTTTATTAATATTTTTTAATTGGATAGTGATTGTAGTTTTATATGGCTTTTTTATCCTCACAATTACCTTTGTGGTTTAGAACTAAAAATTTGCCACAGGGATACATATTGGTATTGAATCTATTAACCTTGTGCGTGGAAGGAGGTTGTGGTGGTTGATAGAAACTGTTGAAGTTGCTTTCTTCCTGGTTTGCCTATATTTTTTTTCTTTTCTTTTCTACCTTTTGAGGTGTTATTCTGACTTAACACTTATAAAATATATTAGTGTATTTTGTTGGCCTTGAGACTGTGGATATGTTAGGTAAATTGACTTGGAACCAAAGTTGCCTAGGAAGTGGGATCATTTCTTGAGCAAATATCTGGCTGTTGTTTTAAATTGAGAATTATCTTCAAAGTAGTGGCCAGTATTTTGTGGAAAAAAATCTTCTATAATATTGTCATTTTAGGCCGGATTTGTTTATGCCATACTTTGAAGGAGAGCTGAAGCTTGGAGGCATCAATGAAGATAACAAAGGCAGAAAATTTAGTTTCTTACAATTTACATGCTGCTTAATGATCTTACACTTTCACGTCATACTGTACATTATGAAACATTTTTGTATAGCTACTCATACGATTGCCCCATGGTATGCTGAAAAAAAAAACTATCCTGGCCTATTCTGGACAGACTGAGGAAGGTATTAGCACATATTACTTCAAACTTATGAGAACATGCTTGGATTTGGTTTTTGACTTGTTCAGTACACAAGATAAATGCAGTTTCCCTTATGCTTATTATCACTATGCTCCTACATGCAGACTCTTCAAGAAGAATAAATTTGGAGGATTCTTGGTAACATGAACTCAAAGTATGATTGTGCAATTTGGATCTCTTGTTTAATGAGACCAATTCTTCAGTAATTAATGTTCCCATTGCTCATGAAACTTGGCACTAATTCAGAGGTTGACATGAGGTGGATAGCAGCGATGAATCTGTTAAATGTTTTGAAAAATTGGTGCCCTATGTTATCTGGGTACTTCTTGGAAGTTGTACCCTTATCGAACTCGTACCAGTACCTGTACCAAAACTTATTGGATACTTCTTAAATATACACACATGTTTGTTCAGGCATATACTCAACTATATAATATTTGTTTTAAATTAAAACACTCCTTTTACACTTCATGGACGTTTATATTACACTTCACATCTATTCCTTATATATTGGTCTTATGTAACGAAAAAACAATATTAATCTTATGTAAATTATTAATTTTAATGCATAAATATGTATAACATACATTATGTATATAGTTGTGTCCCCGTACCCTATCTTTTATAAAATTGTTGTGTTCTATATCAGTACTTGTACCCATACCCATTCCACTTAGTTTGGCGCCTTTCAGTTTAGAATCTTGCTCCTTTGGTGACTCCCAAGTCTCCAATTTCGATAGAGGATGAGAGCATATGATTCCGTGCCAGGACGAGGAATCATGTTTATCAATGATTTCTAGAGAAGTGTTTCCAGGATGAGGAATCATCTTTAACAAGATTTCTAGAGAAGTGTTGCTCATGTTGAAATGCTATGGGTGGTGGTCTTGTTGTTATTGCCAAACTCTTATTCAAGGACATTGTGCAAGTTAATCTCGTTAAGGATGTGTCCTTAAGATCTTTTTGCTTATTAGCAATTAGTGAATCTGTTAGATAGATATAGAATCTGCAAGAGTCATAAGCAAAGGTGATCCCATCATTGAACTTTGGACCATGCATCAGTTGAATCTACAGCTAATGTTGAAATTCTAAATAATCTTCAGGAACATGACCTTGTGTTCCTTAATTTCCTTGTTTAGAGCTGTTCAAGAGGTTATTACATTTAAAAATGACATCTTGCTGTATTTGCTTTGTTTTTTTTATTTTTATTTTGGTGAAAAAATGTTGACATGTTAATTAAACTGTAGGCTATTGTACTGAAGAGCCATTCACAATAGTCTTCATGGTTTTAGGGACGGGTTCCACTAACGTCTTTTAAGTCAACTTGGTTCACATCCATCTGCATTGTAGTTTATTTGGCTAATCTCTTCTAAGGTGTAACTTTGCAAAAATTTGACTTTGTTGGTCCTAAATTCATTTGCTGATACTATCTTCTTGGCTCTGCAGGGAATAGCCTTTCTGGTTGTGCGTCCATCGCCAGCATCTGGATTTCTAATTGAGATGTCTTCCATCTTTCATGTGGTATCCATGGAGAATTCGTCCTCTAATTGATTTCTCAAGGGTTTTTATTGTGCTCTGTATAGCAGTAGTTAATAGGATAAAATATTGATGTATTCCACCTCAGTCCTTCCCTAAGTTATTGATTCTTTGCTCTTTAACTTCATGTATTTTGACAGTGGAACATGGTGTATTTCACGAATGTTATGCTCTATTAATATTGTTGGGTTGGGAAAGTTCTGAGGCTTGCGCATTCAGAAGTTCACGAATTGCAGAATTTATACTAGAGTGGCTGTCTGTGAAGCGGTGACTTGCCTTGCGATGCTGGGCGACTTCAAACGGATTTTAAGATATCACTTGATAATACCTGACTTATTGCTTGTATTACTCTTGAAGCAACAAGTACGGAGCGAAACAATTTAAGAGCGCTGCAAATCGTACTATTGTCGAACATAACTGCTTTGAACATAGCTGCACGGTCGCATGCTGAAAGTTCTGAAAGAAAATGTTTGATAGTTGAGCAAGATGAGCTTTCGCCAGTCGTTTATGTTCACATCTCATGAGTTCTGCTGTAGGGGAGAAATGGGTCATACGTATTATGCCTTCCTTGTGGTAATTTCATTATAATTACCCTATCTTTTACTTGATTAAAGAAGGTTATCTACAACATATATGTTGTCCTTTTTCAAATAATTTTTGAAACTAATCCCATCTTCGCAGATAAATATCGAATTACGAATCAAACAACAAGAAGGTGGAGAAGTGCCAGCTGATTCCGGATTACTTCATTAACAATGCATCGAGGAGAGAACAATTTTTGAATCAGTGCTCTATTTTCAAGTCAACTTGTATGCACCAGATCTAATATAAATAATCTCTCGGTGTAACATTAATGCAATAGATCAAAATCATATATCAAAACCAATTTTTCTGTGAAGTTTCCGTTTTATTTTTTTTAGTTCATAGGACAGTTCTCTTTCATATATGCTAATATAGAAAATTATGACCTAGATGTTTCTCCACCGGTGCATCAGTAGTAAATTAGAGGTTGCTCCTATTGAGGATAAAATGAGAGAATATATTAAAATGGTTTGGTCATGTACAATGGAGACCCCCTAGTGCACCGATTAAGGAAAACGATAATATTAGAGCTAATAAGGCTAGGAGATCTAGAGGTAGACCTAGAATGACTTGGTTAGAAGCAATTAAGAAGAATATGATTAGGACTAACTTAACGGAAGAGATGATCCATAACAGAATGGAATGCAAAAATAGAATTCATGTGGCCGACCCTAAACATTTGAGATAAAGATTTGATCGGTGTTGTTGTAGATGCTTCTTCACTGTGATCACTATATCTAGTTCAATTTCCTCATTGCATTATTGGTGCCTTGGCATAATTGAAGTAAATATCCTTGTACATAGTCACTCGAAAGCTCAAGGATGAACAATGGCAACTTTGATTGTCATGCTTGGATCGTTGTTTCAGAATCCTTCAACAAGAAGCAGGTTTTAAGAAAAATGTTTATGAAAATTTTTACCAATTCTAATCGATTGCAAGATCAAATAGATGTATTAGAACTTGCAGAGAAGATCACAGACCATCTGAAAGATAAAAGAGGCACGTGATTGTTCTTGATGATGTTTAGACCGCAGAGGCATGGGAGAAGCATAAAGTTTGTATTTCCTGATAACAGCATAGGAAGAAGAGTAATGGTCACCGCAAGGAATGAAAATGTGGCTTACACTTGTGCCTTCCTCAATCATAAACACGTCTACAAACTCGAACCTCTCTCCTTTAAGCAATCAAGGGATTTGCTCTACAGGAAACACTAGTAGAATACAAGGCATTGACGACGGAGAATGAACATTCGTGACGCCCAATAGTCCGTTGCCAATAATCCCCTCGCCAATGCACATTGGCGACAGGGACATCCGTCGCCAATGTTCATTGACGACAGAGAGGCATTGGTGACGGAAAACAATGGCGACAAACAATGGCGACGGGTCCTACGCCGTCGCCAATGCATTTTGGTGATGACAATCTATCTGTCACCAAAGCTTATTGGCGACGTGGGGCTTCCCGTCGCCAATAAGCATTGGTGATGTGTATGCATATTCATCCTATATCAAATAACAAGCTGCCAGATGTTGGAGATAATAAGATTAATGATTGTCAGTACTAGAACATTTTGTTGTAACTGATGTTTTTCGTACATGATGAAGTGATGTCTTAGTATCAAGACCAAGATTAGTAATGAAGAGGCTGATAGTGATAGAAGTGCTAGGAAGTGAAGAGGTAAAGCTCCTCTTATCAATTGAAGGAAGATGAGGAACAAAAGAAGATATAAGTTACAAGATAATTATTTTAAAATATATGCTTCATGCACAAAGAACAAAAACATGACCCAATCCAAATAGCATATCCAATGTCTAAGCTTAGCAGTGTAGAGTTTTATGCTATAAGCCTCATAGCAATCACAGCAATGTTTAACAACACACCAAAGCAATGATTTTTAAAGCACATGTTGATGTCAGAACAAGACATTACTCGAAAAGAATTTGTTTTTAGATTAATTTTTAAAGAAATTGACTCCAGAACAAGGTAATTCGACATGTACACATTCAATTCTAGCAGATAAAGAAAATTGAAGAATGCATTAAAGATTCTGCATGTGATGCTATTTCCAAACTTCTGGAACTTCCATCCTGCAACAAATTCAATTCCTACACAACAAAACACAACTCAGCGTCTTTCAAAAAATTTATCCCCAGAGATAAATTTAGTCAGAATAAAAGCCCTCGAACACAATCGCACAACAATCTATTATTTAAACTAATTCACCTCAAAAACAAATTTAAAAGAACTAGTATAATCTCCCTTAGCTATGAACACAAATCTCAAAGACAAATTAAAAAAATAAACTGTAGACCAAAAGCTAGTTGCAACTATAATGTATAATGCTATGAAAATTGTAATTTTTTTTTACCTCAACTGATGAATCGATGAGTTTTTTTCTTTGCTATATTCATTTCCACAGGAGAGAGATCTGAGAGGAGAACTCTAATATTCAGAAAATCTGATAAAGTCGAACCAGATCGGAGAGCTACAGTCTCGGTTTTTTGTAGAAAACAGCGAAGTTTTGGAGAGCTACAGTCTCTGTTTGATTGGCGTCGAACTAGGATTTGATTGGCGTTAAAGCTTCGGTCGCCGTCGAACTAGGGTTTAGGCAAAGTTAAACTAGGGTTTTGGAGACTGATTGGTCGGAGCTTTGGAGAGAGAATGAGGGAAGAGAGAGAGGAGATTGATCGGTCGGAGTTTTGGAGAGAGTGGAGATTGATCGATTGGGTAAAGTCAGAGGCTCGAGCGACCGATTCTGTCTCTCTCCCTCGTTTTCACCTGGGCAGCGGAGAGAAAGGGAAAAAGAAAAAATAGCTATCGATTTTTCTGCAGTGAAAATGATTTTCTTTTTTCTTTTTGTTTTCTTTCAAACCAAACAGCAGAAACTCACTTTCTCTTTTATTTTACTTTCTTTTCTCTCACTTTCTATCAAACCAAACAGAGCCTAAAGGACAAGTTGATCGGCAAACTTCCAGAGTCCATTGGAAAACATCAGAATCTTGAAACTCTAGACTTAAGTCATTGTGGTGATATAAGAGAGAGAACCAATCTCCAAAAGTTGCGTTACATTGTCTTTGGTTCCTTTTTTTTCTTCTTCCCCCTCTTGTGCATGTGAGGTTCCTGAGGGGAATGGGTACAAGACTTGCAAAAGGAATTGAGAGGCTTGGAAGAAACCGAGGGCGTGGTGAAAAAGCTTGGTGAACTGACCAAACTGAGAAGGCTAAACAGGAAGGGGCTTCTGTCGAAATTGAGCAAATGTCCTCACGCTCTGGACGCGCGTGCCTAAATCAACTAAATTCTTCATCTTCAACCCCTTCCCTCCATGAAAGCATGAGCCTGTATGGTCCTATCGCGACACTACCTTGGTGGGTCGGTTCACTCAAAATTTTGGTAAAGGTCGGCTCTCGTAACACTGATTAGAGGACGATGCGATACAAGTTCTTCAAGTTCTGCCAAATCTAGTGAAACATTCACTTGAGAATAATTCTTTAAAAAATAATAATGTATCATTTGAAAGCATGGGATTCCAAAATCTCAAAGTATTGCATCTGTATCTAAGGAGTTCAAAGTCCTTTAGGTTTGAAAAAGTAGCCATGCCTAAAGTTGAGAAATTGAATATACCCGTGTTCTCTCAAGGAGAAGATCCTAATTTGGGAATTGAAAACCTTGGTCTCGCTCAAGGAATTTGAGCTGCACTATAGCAAGAAGAGGTTTAAAATGCTGAAGAGCCTTGTTGAAGCTTCATCCGAACGATCCAAGATTCTGCAACATGATGTTGATCGGTGCTTATAATGAAGAACAGAAAGAGCAGCAGTCAAAAAGAAGCCATAAATGAGGTTAGAACCTAGTTCTTCACGTACTTAAGCAGCGAAGCAGGGTGCATTTCATCTGGTAATGCTGCATACTCTTCAGTCCAATGTAAATTTTTAAATTTTCTAGCAGTACTTGTTGTTGTGTAATGGACATACAAGTATCATAACCGTTTCCATCATAATTCCAAGCAAAAGACTACACAGTCTTAACGATTCGCACCGGCTAATAGACTACAAGATCGCAGCAACCAATACTCTGAAAATTCTGTCTAAGACAGTTTTGATGTATAATGTATTAGACAACAACTGTCATGAAGAGGAGAGAAAAATCCGAAATGAAGAATAAAAAAGAAACTCCTGAATTCGTAGGCTTCCCTCAAGATAAAAGAGACGATCAGCTTAAAACAACAAATATTTCCTCCCTCCTTCAATGTTTTCATGTAACACAGTATGCACAGGATAGTCCGTGACGACATTATACATGAAACTTAAATATCAAAAAGTTGGTAACACTTCTAATCGATCACTCACCAGCAAACAAGGCAGGTTCTACACACAGTTGATTCTTTAATACCGTACATTTTTTTTAACAAAAGTGAGGAATTAAAAGAGCATGTTTGGCAAGTTACTTACTTTTAACTTATAATTATGTTTTTACTTATAGGTACTGTTTGGCAAAGGGTTAAGTGAGGGGTTAAGGGGACTTAACACATTCTTAACAAGTGAAACACAAAAAAATTATACAAATGTTAAAGTGAGTTAACCCTCCATAATTTGCTAAACATAAAAAATATATAAAGGTTAAGCTAACCCCTCTAGAGGGATTAAAATGAGTTAACTCCTTAAAATAAGGGGTTTGCTAATACTCATATTTAGAAGGATTAAGAGTTAATCATTCTAATTATAAAGAAAATAGTCAAAATCCTTGTTATTCCCAAACACTACAAATGATCATAAGGATTAAAATAAAACTTTTATAACAGGTTAATAATTTAGTCCTTCAGATTATCGAATGAGCTAACTATGTTAATCATTCTCCTTAATCTCTCTTCCTTAACCCTTTGCCAAACGGGGCCAATAGGATTAAAAACCATGATTGGTAAACCTTA